GGTGGATTACACTGGTCTCCCCCCCACACACACTTAAGGGAAGCCCACAACCCAGCATCCCTTGCGTTCTGCCAGCCCCTCTGTGGCTGCGGCAGGAAACATGGTATTATGCTGTTGGGGTTGAAATCCAAACCTGCAATTTCAGAGCAAACAGAGGGAGCCAGCTTCCTTCCAGCTGTAAAGGGAGCCCCAGACCTACCCCCTCTGCATGTCCCTGCCTCTGGAAGGGGCTCAGCCCGCCACTCAGCCCGCCGGCCTTGGGTCTGACTCTCAGGCTGGAAAAAAAGAGGGACTACCATGAAGGCATCCCCTGAGGGGACAGCGTCTATGTATTGTAGATGGCAGCAAGCTGGATGTGACGGTCTGGAGTGGCGGGAATGTCCAATGCCGCTTAGCATGGCTACAGGGTCCCCTGTAGTGGGGCAGGGATGAGGTCTAAGAGTCTGGACAGAGACTGGGAGTCAAGAGATCCATGGTGACTGTCTCCTGACATTCACGGTTGAGCGTGGGGGTGGAAGGGCATGTTTCAGGCAGGGGACTGAGTTGCTCATGGGCCTGGGATGAAAGGAGACTGTGGCCTACTGAGTGGGGGAGGGGAGGAGGGGTACAAGGTTCCTTGGCTAAAGCAACAAGGTTATTCGACGAGGCAGGCAGGGGCTGCTGTGGATGGGCTGTGTGTGGGGGCGGGACATGACCAGATTTTGGATGGAAGCCAGATGGGATGGGAGCAGGGGACAGCGGTTCAGGAGTCTTGCTCTCTGATGGTAGGATCTGCGAGACAGTGACAGAGCATGCTGTCCCTCGTCACGAGATGGACATGGATGAGTCAGCCTCCGGGGAAGGCGATGTGAGATGGGTCTGGCACTTTGACCTTGATCCAGGGGCGGCCAGAGCTGAGGCTTTGGCTCCAGTGCGCCCCACAGGGCAGGATCTGGGTGAGCAAAGGGATGTGACTCCCCTCCCACAGAAATCGGCCGAGTAGAGGGGCAGATTTGAGGTTTGGGGGAATCAGTTCATAGAGGCCAAGCATTAAGATCCATCTTTGTCTTTTCTTGGTCTCTTTCTCACTTCTAACTTCAGGTGACAGTCACATGATATACAATTAATCTTTTTTTTGTTGTGCTTTCTGAGAAAAAGTTTCTCTGTGTAACAGCCCTAGCTGTCCTGGAACTTGCTTGTAGACCAGGCTGGCCTTAAAATCATAGAGACCTGCCTGCCTCTGTCTCCCTAGAGCTAGGATTAAAGGTGTACACCACCACTGCCTGGCTAAAATTATTACTATTATTATTATTATTATTATTATTATTATTATTATTTTGTTTTGTTTTTTCGAGACAGGGTTTCTCTGTGTAGCTTTGGAGCCTGTCCTGGAACTTGCTCTGTAGACCAGGCTGGCCTCAAACTCACAGAGATCTCTGTCTCTGCTCCCCCCCACCAAGTGCTGGGATTAAAGGCATGTGCCACCGCTGCCCAGCTAAAATTAATCATTTTAAAGTGAGTATTTCTGTGGTGTGTAGTGCACAGAGTACTGGAAAGCTCACCACTAACCAGTTCAGAATATTGTCACTATCCATCCTGCCCCACCACCACCCAGCAGTCTGCATTTTCCCTGTGTTCTGTGATCACATCATAGGTGACCTGAGGGGCTGACTGCACGCAACACAGCATGTTCACAGCTCATCCACACAGTAGCACAGATCCATGCTTCATGCCTTTTGGTGGTGTGTGTGGTGGGCCTGTTCTCAATGCAGTAATGCTTTGGTTTTAGATCATGTGACTTTGCTTATCCCTCTGGTTCTAAAATAAACAAGAATTATAAAAAAAACAAAAAAACAAAACAAAACAAAAAAAAATCCTGGCTGGGAAGATGGCGCTGTCAATAAAGTGTTTGCTTTCCAAGTAAGAGGACCCAAGTTCTGGGGTCCGGAACCCAGGCTTTAACAGAAGACAGAAGAACCTAGCATGGTATCGCTGAAGCTCTGAGACAGGAGAACTCACTGGCTGGTTAGTCTAGAGAGCCCACTCCAGGGAGAGACTCCACCTCAAAACATAAGGTCAAGCTGGGTGGTGGTGCACGCCTTTAATCTCAGCACTCATTAGGTAGAGGCAGGCGGATCTCTGTGAGTTCCAGGCTAGCCTGGTATATAAAGAGAGTTCCAAGACAGCCAGGGCTACAGAGAAACACCATCTTGAAAAATCAAACAGAATGGGACTCCTGAGTGCACTGTGGGGAGCTTGGGAACTCCTCTCCCTTTGGGGTCCACAGTCTTATTCTTGGTCACCCAGTCTGTTTCTCCCGTACCATCTCGCAAAGCAAATGCCACTCCTAACAGGCAAATAGGGTTTTGGTTTTAAGTTTCATTTTTTTTTTCTTCTTTTTCTGTGGTTTGCTGTTGCCGGGGTACACACAGAGCAGATGCTCATAAGTTATTCAACACACCCCAGTCTTGGGACTCTGAGTTCCAGAAGGGGCCCCCCAAAGGCTGCCTGTCCTCAGGGACTGGGGTGGCAGTGTTCTCACCCAGTGGGCGAAGCAAGCTGCTCCCAGAGTGTGACAGGCCCCCCCTGCATGGTCAGGGGCGAGGGAGGAGAAGGCAGGGCTTCCTGGAGAGGGGGAGGAGGGGGCAGGGGTCCCATTCTTAACCATTTCCCAGTGGTTCCTGAGAAAGAAGTGGTCCCATCCTGGGCTCACGTCCTCTGCTCCTCCCCACCAGGTCATCATCATCTGCCTGGTGGTCCTGGATTCCCTCCTGGTACTTGCTGAGCTCCTCCTGGATCTGAGGATCATTGAGCCAGACAAGAAAGACTATGCCGTCAAGGTATGCACGTGGTGCAGGCACGCATGTGGTACAGGCGCAAAGGTGGTACAGGCACACACGTGTACAGGCACACACGTGGTGCAGGTGCACGCCAGCCCCACCCGAGCCATGCATGCACCCAGCTCAGGTCCACAGGCAGCCAGGGCATACATAGGGCCCTGCGGATGGGGTCACTATCTGCGGGCGGGGATGGTGTCGACCGAGTCACCGGACGCTGCTCGGTGCACGTGAATGAGCCCATCCTCCTCCTGCTCTCTCGTTTCCCGGGGGCATGCCTTACTGTGGTGTGTTACAATCAATCTTACACCCTTTGTCCCCAGTGTGGTCACTGTGAGCCTCAGTAAGGCGGGCTACGTGTCCCTTTGACATGACCGCGGGAGCTGGAGTATGCCCTTGCTTCCCGGCTTCCTTAGAAAGAAACTGGGAACTCTTCAGGTACCACTAGTCTTTACCGCCGCCTCAGGGAGTGTGTGACTCTCCCCCAGGCCTCAGCAGTGGAGTAACAGTTACAGGAAGTGCCACTGTCTGTCTAGCAGGTGCATTCATTCATTCATTCATTCATTCATTGACAGGGTTTCTCTGTATAGCCTTGGCCATCCTGGAACTCGATTTGTAGCCCAGGCTGGCCTCAAACTCAGAGATCCACCTGCCTCTGCCTCCCAAGTGCAGGGATTAAAGGTGTGTGCCTTTTATTGGACACTGACATTGTCCCCTCCACACAGTTCGGCCCACAGTACTGCAGTGACCGGCCAATGTGCCTGCCCATCCATAGGCTCTGTTCCTCGCAGTGGGGTGGCTGGGCCAGAGGACACTGAGGGCTGGGGTTGTTGTTCTCTTCAGCACTGGAAAGCAAAGCCCCGGCCTTGCGTGTGCTGTGAAAGCGCTCAGGACAGAGTGCGGCCGGCCGCAGCCCGTCTCTATGGCTAGTTTAGCCAGTTTCACTCTGTGGCCCAGGCAGGCCTTGAATCCTTGCTCTTCCTGCCTCCGCTTCCCAAGCACTGGGTTGACAGCCAGGCCTGGCCAGCAATGTTCAAGTCTGGCATTGCCTCATTATCCTCAATGGGTGGAAGCCTTGTCTGTGATGGGGACCAGCACTGAGTCCTCTCTGGCACCAGGCTGGTGTGCTTGGGGTTGGCAGTGGTGGCCAGGGACTGCCCCGTGACGGCTCCCGGCCCGCTCTGTCCCCGCAGGCCTTCCACTACATGAGCTTTGCCATCCTGGTCTTCTTCATGTTGGAGATTTTCTTGAAGATCTATGTCTTCCGCCTGGAGTTCTTCCACCACAAGTTTGAGATCCTGGACGCCATCGTGGTGGTGGTGTCCTTCGTCCTCGACCTCATCCTCTTCTTTAAAAATCACCAGTTTGAAGCTCTGGGCCTGCTGATCCTGCTGCGGCTCTGGCGGGTGGCCCGGATCATCAACGGTGCGTCTCCCATGCTCCTAGGCTGCGGGGAGGTGAGGGGTGGGGGTGGGCACTGTGGTGGGTACCAAGGTGGCAATACAGTCACCAGACGCCCAGGATCTCATACCCGCTTTCTGTCATGGCTGCTGCCTCCTTGGAATCTGGAGAAAGGTAGATGGTAATATTTGGTGACAAGCTGCCACCTCTGGCTGAGGACCATGATTGCTCCCAAATCGTCTCACACTGTGGCCATGTTTTCATGGTTACCAGAAGGTAGCTATGAGCCGGGCAGTGGTGGCACACGCCTTTAATCCCAGCACTCGGGAGGCAGAGCCAGGTGGATCTCTGTGAGTTCGAGGCCAGCCTGGCCTACAAAGCGAGTTCCAGGCAAGGCGCAAAGCTACACAGAGAAACCCTGTCTCAAAACAAAAAACAAAAAACCAGAAGGTAGCTATGGACGTACGGGACTCTTGCCCCGGGCAGCACAGGAGGATGGCATCCTCCAGAAGGGAGGCAGGTGGCTGAGCAGTGCTCTGTGCTGACTGCCCAACCCCAGGGGCCCCTCATGGAGCTTCCAGTTTCCGTGAGTGACCACTGTTGCTGACCCTTGTTACCATCCCCTGGCTTCTGGCTCTGGAGAGGACACTCGGGGGAATCTGGGCTTCTGCGGGGCCATGGCTGCCGGCGGGTGAAGCCTTCAGTCTTCCAAAGAATTAGTACAGTCACTTCCCAAGCTCTGTGCCCCTCAGCAGTTTTGCTACCGAGAACCTGGGGCGTCCTCAGGGGATCGAGGTAGTCAGCTAGGCTTGGGAAGGCTGAGGTGAGGGAGTGGCAGTGACCTGCTGTGGCCTGGGATTGCGGGTGGTCGCGGCTCAGCCAGCTTAGCTCTGGGCAGAAGAGAAAAGCATACGAGGGACACTCCTTTGTGTCGTGTGGAGACGGAGGTGACAAGCTGGTGACACATGGGGTTTACACGAATTAATCAAAAAGACAGAGGTAAAAGGTTTATTAAATACACCACAGTGCAGCCACAGTGAGTGGGCTGCTGATGGGGCGCCCTGGCTGAGGGGCTGGCAGCCTCACGGTGCAGCCGGGGCAGGTGCCCTCGTGGGCCTTATCTGGGTTTGTATCTGAGGGGCAGCACTGGTGTTTCTTGAGATTGGCCGTGGGGTCCGGAGCCGTGGGTCACTGGAGGTGTGCAAGGCACCCCAAGTTAGCAGGTCACGTGCCAACCAGTCAGGGCCAGCTCCAGCATAGGGGTCCCTGCTTTAACTTTTGGCCTTTTCGTCTCCACACTCTGGACTCTGCCCAGGGAAGACAAGCAGCTCCTAGTTACTGCTGGGGACACTGTCCTTGGGGAATGGGAACACAGGGGTCTGCAGAGACTGCCATGGGGGCCACAGGGAAATACTACCTAACTGCCCACTCTCTGGCTCAGAAATGGCAATCTTGAACCGGGCGGTGGTGGCGCACGCCTTTAATCCCAGCACTTGGGAGGCAGAGGCAGGCAGATCTCTGTGAGTTCGAGGACAGCCTGGGCTACAGACTGAGTTCCAAGGCAGGCACCAAAACTACACAGGGAAACCCTGTCTTGGAAAAAAGAAAGAAAGAAAGAAATGGCGATCTTGCCCTCCTGGCTGAGGCTGCCAGTGACAGTTGTCGCTGGAGTCCCAAGTACATACAGGAATTAGCATACAAGTCTTGGGGCTGACGAGAGGGCTCAGTCAGTAGAGACACTTGCCACTAAGCTTGATGACCTGCGTTCAAGCCCTAGGATCCACATGACGAAGGCAAAGAACCGACTCCCACAGTTGTCCTCTGATGTCCACGAGGACCCCCCCTCCCCTCTCTCTCTCTCACGCACGCATGCGCGCACGCACACAGTTAAAACAAGCTGTTGCACCGTCACGACCCTCTCCTCCCTTCCAGGCATCATCATCTCGGTGAAGACACGCTCGGAACGGCAGATCTTAAGGTTAAAGCAGATAAACATTCAACTGGCCACCAAGATCCAGCACCTGGAATTCAGCTGCTCTGAGAAGGTGAGGCTCAGGGACCGGTTCCACTGCCGTCCCCTCCAGCCCACGACTGCCCGTGCTCCGGTGGCCCACAGCCCTGCCTGCTGCCCCCTCTTCCCAGTCTTTCTGGCTTACACAGCGGCTCCTGGAGCCAGGCCCAGTCCCTCCTCAGGGCATCTTGTTCCTGTGTCACTGCCCAGGGCCCCTCCTGGGACAGATCCCCTCAGCAGCCAGAATACCACAGACTGGCTCTTAGCTCTCTGTAGCCCCAGGCCTGTGGGAATGTGGCTCAGAAGCTCATCGCCCGGTGTCTGTCTGCTTTTACAATAGGAACAAGAAATTGAGAGACTCAACAAGCTGTTGAGACAGAACGGACTTCTGGGGACGGGAACTAGCCTTCCAGAAGCTCTACCCTAGAGAACTGTGTGCTGCCAAGTCCGGTCCTCATCTTTGCCTTGGCTTGCGCTCGCTGGATGCTGGGGACACCTCTCCGTCCGCTCCGCTGCCTCTTCCGTCCGACCCGGAGCCACCCATCCACGTCCTCCTCCCGCAGCGAAGGAATCATGACCACCTTTTCTCAGCTGGACTCTGCTCGAAAATGGACAAGGAATCGGGCTTGTAAAACTTAATGCCACTGCTTCCCTCCGTGTGTAGGGGACCGGCCCACCCTTTCATAAGCACATTCTGAAAGAAGAAGCTGGCACCTCGCCCCAGCCCCTTCTAGAAAACCTTTCTTGGCCGGTCCACAGCTTCTGGCGCTGCATCCCCTAGGGGAGGCATCCTGGTACCCAGCCCCTCCTCGGCAGCATCCAACTGTGTCAGCTTCCAACTGACTCTGCTCTCATCAGCATCGCTCCCAATTACTGTATAAAATAAGCACCTTCTTTCTCCTGGGCCCGCCTACCACACTTTCTCCCGGGTGGCAGCCCACACCAGCCCACCAGTTATAGAGCTAGCTCACTGCAGGGGGGGCCCCCAGGCGGCCCTGTAATTAGCATCATCTTGGGGTACAGTGCCCTTGTGGGCACACGTTTTTACACAGCCTCTTGCAGGTTTGTACTTCTCCAACGCTGATGGGCATTTTGAAGACAGCTCCCGAGAGAGGAGGGGTAATGCATTGAGGAGGCTCTCCATGCATTGCTACATTAGGCTCTGTCCCTCCCAGCTCACCAGAGGCGACGAGGCCCGTGACCACCAGACCTGACCCCCTCGCCCAGCAGGGTGAAGTTTCTGAGAGGAAAAGACAGCGGAGATGGGCAAAGGGCTGGCTTAAGGGGACGAGGACCTGGGTCAGGGTCTGTCAGGGTGGGTACTCACTGCTGCAGGGCCCACCCGCATCACACAAACGGGAAGAAGAAGCTGAAGGGCAGCCTGGCGTTGATGGTGGGCGGGGCGCGGAAGCCTGCCTCCGCAGGGGCCGACACATCCACAAACGTCACTGTGGTGGAGATGACCACCGTCCTCTCGGGCCCTGGCGGGGGCTGTAATGGAGAGACAGAACGGGCACGGTCATCCTCCTCCTCCTCGCTCAGCTGGAGTCTGGCAGGCCTGTGGAGTCGCTGAGGCCCGGCGCAGCCGAGCTGCACCACGCTGCAGGCTGACCCAGCAAGAGCAACCACGGTTCGGGGTTCACAAGAACTGGGACCCCGAATAAAACCTGTCAGTGAGTCTTCCCCTCGAAGTACAAGTTAAAGGATGATGATGAAACTGTTTTAAGATTCAAGATGACCGTGAGGCATGATGGCACTTGCCCCTTATTACTCAGGAGGCTGACGCCAGGAGTCACAAGTTTGAGACCAGCCTGGGTTACAGGAGACGAGCCTATGTCAAAATACCAGATTCCGCCAGGCACAGCAGCACTAGCTTCCTGTCCCTGAACGTGGGCTGTGACATGAGGATTAACAGCTCAAGTCCAGCCTTGAGACCCTGTCTTAAAAAAGACTGAAATCTAAATAGAAATTATAATCCTTCACACAAGTAATAAACTTTTCCTGTCACACCTGCTCTCACCTCGTCCTGTCTTCACCTGCTCCTCTCACTCTGTTTCTTTCTTTCTGTGCAAGGTTGGGGGTTAGCCCGTGCTAATCCTGGGCCTACCGTCAGGCCACACCCCAGCCCGTGGAGACCGTCGCCAGCAGGCCTACCTCTGGAATGGAGAAGAGCTGGGCAGTGACGTTCACTATCCTGGCTTGGGGATTCATCAGGGACCCATACTTAGTCCATTTCACTTCTATCCCCAGAGCCACGGGGAGCTGGCACGGGCCCTGCAGGAGAAAACTAGATTAAACCAGAATATTACACAACCGTGATCCGCAGCTGAGCACTTGAATTCTGTGTGTAAGATGTTTACCAAACACAAAACGTTCGGAACACAAGGGTGAACGCACTATACGAGTTCAGGTACAAATAAGTTTCCAGAGCCTGAGTCGTTACAGCCCCTCGGCTCCCACGACTGTACCACCCAGTGAGAGACAGGGTCCAGCCCCGCTATCCAGCAGTGGGACCTTCAGGGCCTCGACCGGCCCACATCCACCTCAGAGGAGCTTCTGGAAACTGGCCAGAGGGACAGTAGGGGAGAGACGGACAGAATTCAACAGAGAAAAGGTGAATTTGATTGTAGCTCGGGTTCAAGTGCGAACAGAGGAAACAGAAGCATGCTTTTATCTCATTTCACCAACTAGCAATGGAGATACAACTTGGGCGGGAGATGGCTCTGCAGTTCCGAGCACTGGCTGCTCTTGCAGGACCGACCGCCTGGGTTCAGTCTCCAGCACCCACACAGCAGCTCACAACCACTTGTTATTCCAGTTCCAGGAGATCCACCACCCTCTTCTAGCCTCTGAAGGCCCTAGGCACCCGTATGGCGCACATACATACATATGCTTATACACAGAATTTTCTTTTTCAATCTTAAAAAAAAAAAATGCCGGGCAGTGGTGGCGCACGCCTTTAATCCCAGCACTCAGGAGACAGAGGCATGTGGATCCCTGTGAGTTCAAGGCCAGCCTGGGCTACAGAGTGAGTTCCAGGAAAGGGGCAAAGCTACACAGAGAAACCCTGTCTCAAAAAAAAAAAAAAACACAAAACAAAAAAAATAGCTGGGCATGGTGGCCCACACCTTTAATCTCAGCACCCAGAAGGCAGAGGCAGGCAGATCTCTGTGAATTCAAGGCCAGCCTGGTCTACAAAATTGAATTCTAGGGGATTGGGGATTTAGCTCAGTGGTAGAGTGCTTGCCTAGCAAGCACAAGACCCTGAGTTCAGTCCTCAGTTCTGGGGTGGGGTGGGGGATAAAATAAAATAATTGAATTCTAGGACTCAGGGATTATACACAGAGAAACCCTGTCTTGAACCCCTCTCCCAAAAACAAGACAAAACAGCGAGAGACAGAGTCAGTGTCTGTATGCTAAGAAAGGTAATGGTGCAGGGCAGGTATAGTGGTGCACACCTTTAATCCCAGCACTCGGGAGGCAGAGGCAGGCGGATCTCTGTGAGTTCAAGGCCAGCCTGGCCTACACAGGGAGTTCCAGGACAATCAGGGGTGTAGAGAAAGACCCTGTGTCCAACAAACAAAAGAAAGGTAACAGTGCTTCATCTGCACTGCGGGGGCCAGCATGGGGCTACCCGAGCTAAGGCTGGATCCTGACTCTGTCCCGGGACCTTGGCTTGGACAGTCCCAAGGGAAATGGGCACTGGGCCCTCCAGACCATCCATCCTTTTGCTGATAACTGTGGAACTGCAGAAGCTACACAGTGGGTAGACGGGGAGCCCACGAAGCTATGGTACTTCCCATAGGTTTGACTTTCCACGTATATTTTCTGTAAATTATGTCCTGGCATTAAAAGCTAGCAGACCTGTGAAACTGGAGACCATCAAAAGCAGTAACAGGTTCCTTAGCTCGCAAGAGCCTTTAGAAACCCTGTCACGGAGCCGGCTTTGCCAGTATCCGGTTGCTAGGAGAAGCTGCAGGTGCAGCGGGTGTGAACAGCAGATGCCCTGGGCCTGCTGCCCCTGGCACTGAGGACTGGTGTCTTTACCCAGTGCCAGAAAGCTAAGAGTCATCCCCCAGGTTCACTGGTGGCTGAGCGCAGGAGTCAAGCGATCCTCGGAGTGGGGGTCTGGTGAGGTTCTTCTCCCCACGGCGGGTGCCACTCCTTAAAAATATCCCAAGCTGATAATGAGAGGCCTGCCGCAGGCAGCTGTGACAAGAAAGAGCTGGGCAATTAGGGGAGAATGGAGTGCACGCCTCCGCTGAGGACAGCCCACACTCGGCTGCTAAGACAAAAGGAGGAGGTGGGCGGAGGAGTCACGTGTGACCAGGAAGCTATTTGTAGGATGTCAGCTTCCATTAAACTCTTTGGGGAACTTGGGAACTGAAAGAGCTCACATGTGGGTGGGCTGCCATTATAGCCCCGAGGCATGGGATGGAAGTGGTGGTGGAGACAGGAGGCCACATCCCATGTCCCTCCTGTCACCAAATGCCTGGGGAAGGCTTACTGCGTCACTGCTGTCCAGGCCGACCATCCTGGGGTTTGGAATATTTGCATAGCCATTGATGACTGAGAAATTCAGGAGGCTAGACAGGAAATCCATTGTTCATGTCCACCTCACTCAGTCAGTCTAGAAATAATGGTACTTCAGTGGGCTCAAGTTTTGACCATCGCCACCATGGTGGTGACATGTTGTCACTTAAAGTTTCAGATTTGGATGTCATTTTTTTGGATTAGGAGATTTATTTCTCAACCACAGTGACGGTGGTGGTCACTCGCGCTTCCAGTAATATGGAGTGGCCCCTTGTCCTGCCAACAGCCAAACAAACTTAGCCCTCTCAACAGCCCTGTGGGGTCAGTGATGTTGTTTCTGAAGGGCTCGGGCAGGCCTTGCCCTCCCCCATTCCCTCTGCCTTGTTAAACGGTGAGATCACATTCCTAAAGCTGGCCACCAAGGTCCATTCCCTTATCTGGCCACTCCCTCGTCCTGAGGCTGACCACCAAGGTGCAGTTATCACAGGATTGAAGTCCAGTCATCAAAGCTCCCTTTGGCTACCCTAATTAACACGCCCAATTAAAACACACCAATTCATCCTAACATGGGGTTTCCTTCTCCCCTTTTGCCTAGGGACCATGTCTCCTCTATCAGAGGCAGGCCTTTGTCTCTCCAGAGCAAACATTCCTTCCCCTCTCCCTTCTCTCTCTCTCTCCTGTCTTCGTCTCTCACTCCCTGGCCTCTGTCGCTCCTTTGTGCTGAGAACCTGGTCTTGGGGTGTCTGGTGCTGACTCTGGTCCTTTCAGTTCCCACGAGCTGGGGAAGCCAACAGAGGCTGGACAACTGCTGACAGAGGCATTGTGAAGAAGTGAGAGCTGGAAAGCCTAGCCAGGCCACAGCACCCGACTCCCACCCCATCTGTGATCCAGCTGGCAGAGGAGGGCACACTAGCAGGTGGCCAGCAGCCTCCCCCTCTTTACCTTCACGTTGGAGGAGTGGGTGATATAACGCACAGGCACCCAGTCCTGCACGTCCTGGGCCCGGGAATTCCCAAACGCAGCCACGTAGTCGGGGAAGGCCTGGCCTCTCAACAGGCCCTGGATCTTCTGTGCCAGGAGCCCACAGGGGATGGCTCCTGTCAGTCTTTGGGAAGGAAAGAGGGGCCAACTCAGGGAGGCACTGATAACCTCCAGCCTTTCTTCCTCTCCAAAAATGCGATCTTCTAACCCCTGGTCATGGAGATGTCCCCAACAGCTTCCCAACCTGTATTTCACCCCCACCCCCCTCTACGATGTGCCAGGGCCAGAAGCCGGGCAACACAGTGGCTTTCCCATATCCTGTCCTCCTGAAGGGTGCTGGCACATGCGAGTTCCACAGGAGGGACCCGGGGTTTATCCTGGGCTGCTGCCCCCTGGCATCCTGTGGGGAAGTGTTCAGTGGAACCCTCAGGAAGAACTTGCTGCTCTGAGATCAGAGCCAGCAATCATACTAATGACCGAGTCCCTCCAAACCACGTGGGAAGGGCATGGGTGGAGACGGGAAATGAAGGGGCAAAGACGTGTGTTTTCACAGAGCGGAGATTCAGCCACAAACACACAGACCCAAAGATCCAGAAATGCCACTGCCGCGCCCGGGAGGCTGCGGTATGCGGCAGGAGGATCAGCGGTTTGAGTCTAGCCTGAGCTGTGCAGGGAGGCCTCATCTCCCATACCACGTTCCAGTTTTCATTCAGTGGCTCTCCTGTGCCGCACAGTTAAAATCCAGGAACAGGAAGGGCTTTCAAGGGAAATGCGTTTGCTGAGAACTCAAAAGCTCTTAACCACAACACACACACACACACACACACACACACACACACACACACACACAGCTCTGCGATCGGTCCTCTGCCGTGCTGGGGAATGGCAGGGCTGCAGTGGTTTTGCTGGTGACTGGGTGAAAATAGGGGAAGGGAGGATGCTCTCTCTGCCACGGGCACCCTCACCTGAGCTGACAGCCAGACTGCACGTTGTAGCCAAACAGCACGGGGTCGCGGAGGCCCTCGCTGGCAAGGCAGTCCTGCGCGCCTGCGCTGCGAAGAACGGTAAACTGGCCGTGTCTGTTCGCTGTCTGAATAATCCCAGACATTCACAGGCTGTTAAGGGAGGTAATGGTTCCCGAGCAGCCAGACTGTGCAGGAGGAAAATGGCTTCCCGGTAGGACATGAGACACGAGCAAGGTGCAGTGCCCTGCTCTGGGCCTCTGGGTTGTTCCCGGGAAGGGACAAAGAGATGCCAGTAAAATCTCTTCCTCGCCTGGCTCACCTTCACAGTTAACTCCAGCCAGGTGTGGTGGCCGGGCTGCTAATCAAGCTACTAAGAAGGCTAAGGAGGGTTGCACACGTGAGGACTCCTGAACGAGTGAGTTCAAGACTAGCCAGGGCAACTTGCCACAACCTTGTTTCTAAATGAAGGGTAAGGAATGGGCTGAGGGACAGCTCAGTGGCAGAGTGCTCTCCTGGTACGCTCAAGTCCCCAAGGAGGATCTGTGAGACTGAGGCTAGCCTGGTCTACATAGTGAGCTTCAGGACACAGAGACATCTGCTTCAAAAAAACAAAAAAAGTGAAGGAATAAATGATTCCAACCCTCCTGCCTTCGGGTGTCTTTGGTGCTGTTGTTTCTTTCTTTTGTTTTTGTTTTTTTCAAGATGAGGGTTTCTCTGTGAAACAGTCCTGGCTGTCCTAGAACTCGCTCTGTAGCCCAGGCTGGCCTCGAACTCACAGAGCTCCGCCTGCCTCTGCCTCCTGAGTGCTGGGATTAAAGGCGTGCGCCGCTACCGCCCAGCTTCGGCGTCCTTGGAAATACACCGTCATCTTCCCCCAAGTGTCTACTCACACCCAACCCCACCACATCTCACTGGCCCCGGGAAGCTCTGGCCAGTCAGGTGCTTCCCTCCCACAGGCTGCCCACAGCATCCTCGGCAACAAAGGGAAACACGGTCCGTCCATGCAGACAGGGAAGGTGACCGTCTCCACAGATTCAAACAAAGGATACCCATTCTGAGGCTGGAAGCCAGCGGCCAGCGGGAGTCCCACTCTGTAACCGGGGTTGCCACTGCGAGGAACAGGCTTGCCGCCGTGCTGAAAGACAAGGGCACGTCCTGTGCTACATCACTTCGGCAGCAGCGGGGGCAACACGGTGCTCCTCGTGGTAACATCTGGAAGACAGCTCCCCTGCTCTGAGGTATAAATGGATCCCGGAGAGAGTAGGAGGACAGCACTCTGAGCCCGTGAGGCCCGGGACAGCACCCGGCTTCCCGGCAAACCCCACACACCACGGCAAGTGCAGGCTGGGGAGCTGGGGCATGCTTCTAGACTGCGCCTCCCCCAGAAGTCAGGCTCTCCTTCAGCTTGGCAGCGGAACACTTGAAGAGAAAGAACACTGAGACTTACCTGAATAAAGTGAATCTCAAACTTCTGCTGCAGGAGAGTCACTGTGCTGCTGAATGTCCCCAGCACGAGGGAGAGGCTGGCTTCCCGGATCTGGCCTGTGGCCGTGTACAGCAGACTGTACTTCACCTGGGACAGAACGGGGCTCGTCCACCTCTGCCCGCCACCGCTCAGCAGCCACAGAAGAGCCACAGCCCCGACTCTGCTGTCCAGTCACACCAGTGATGTCCCCTTAGCATCCCAGGAGACAGAGCCACCTCAGCCTTGCTGTGACCAATTGTTTGATCTTTCAGATCGGCCGACTCAAGTCCAATTTGAACGGCCTATTTCTGCAGAAGAAATGTGTCCAATCGAATAAATGGTGGTGACAATAAAGTGTGTGTGTGAGTGTGGCCAGAGCGTGATGCTGTCTTCCTCTGTAACTCTGCCTTCCTGCCTTGAGACACAGTCTCTCATGGAACCACAGGCTCTCTCTTTCAGCCAGGCTGGCCAACCAGTGCACGCTTGGGATCTGCTTGTCTGTCCCTAATGCTGAGGTTACAGCCAGGTACAGTAGCCATGCTTGTTTTGGTTTTGTTTGTTTGTTTGTTTTTCGAGACAGGGTTTCTCTGTGTAATTTTGGTGCCTGTCCTGGATCTCGCTCTGTAGACCAGACTGGCCTCGAACTCACAGAGATCCACCTACCTCTGCCTCTTGAATGCTGGGATTAAAGGCGTGCACTACCACTGCCCGGCTCCTCCCATGCTTGGCTTTTTACATGGGTGCTAGGGATTTGAACTCAGGTCCTTAGGCTTGTGGAACAAACATTCTTATGCCACTGAGCCATCTCCCCAGCCAACGACAAGAAAATTGTGCCCTATTCTTATAAGGTGTTGGGTTTAGGGAGACATGTAAAGACGTGTCCTCCACTGAGACAGCGGAGCAGCAGAAACAACTCAGAGTCTGGGCCAGAGTTCTCCCTGGAGGGGTGGCTCCCCTGCAGGCCAACGGCTGGAGTCAGGCAGTCAGAGCAGAACTGCGAAGGCACACTGGGCACCTACCTCGAGGACAACGTTGCTGCAGAGTCTGTCTTGCCCAGCGCTGACCAGAGACGGCCGTAAGACACCATGGCCTTCTAACCGGGTCAGCGTGTGATTGAGAGACCGATACATGACAGACTGGATCTTGATGGAAACCTGAGAGGGAAGACAGCCTTGGTTATGAGACTACTCCGGGCTACATATAGCACCGGTGACTGTTACGGCAACCAAAGTCTAACCTTTAGTAACAATGATGCAAGGCAGAGGACATGCACACTGCCATGCACCGCACTGTGCGTGCTGTGAACCCACTTCTGCAAGAGTGCGGGTATTTCCATGAAAACACACATACATACACACGACCTTCAGAGAAAAGTCAGAAGGCGGCATTCTCAGATGTCATCCCCGAGATGGAAATAGCCCAACAGTCCATCTGTACAAGAAATGCTACTCACCCATAAAAATCAAACCCTGGGCAGGAGAGATGGCTCAGCAGTTAAAATCACTGGCTTCTCTTCCAGGGGACCCAGGTTCGAGTCCCAGCACCCACATGGCGGCTCACAAGTGGCTGTAACTCCAGTTCCAGGGGATCTGATGCCCTCTTCTGGCCTCCAAGACTAGCAAGCATGTACGTGGTGGACATACATACATCAAGCAAAACACCCATGCACATAAAATAAAAACTAAAAGAAAAATTTACAAAATCAGCCGGGTGGTGGTGCACAATTTTAATCCCAGCACTCGGGAGGCAGAGGCAGGCGGCCAAACTTTTGAAGGGACATCTGTCATTGTGACCAACACCAGAAGAGTGAAAAAGCATCAAGCAATCCCCCAAGGACAGCCACGCTGCTTCTGACAAGGGCTCTCCATTTGAGTGGTTGGAGGCCACTATCCGGGAAGGTGCCTGAGACACCTGCTCATGTCACTGTCTTCAGGGAATGCGGAGCTGTTTATAACTTCACCTGGCAAGTGCTGGAGCCGTCACTCTGGAAACAGAGACGCAGTCTTTACATGCCTGCTCCCATGACCAAAGCAACCTACAACTGTCCTCCAGGTCGAAATCACTTGTCCCCACGGGGACAGTGTGGGGACGTGAGTGACAGAAAAAAAAGGCAACCTCCACAACGCTCTGCCTGTCAAGCTGCCCCAACAGCTTGAGTCAAGTGGGAACCCTGGGCTGTGTCTTACAGACACCATGCGGACTGGGCAAGTTTGGAACGGTAGAATCAAAGCACTTTCGAGCGGCTGGAGGGATGTCACAGAAAGGCCTGACATATGTTTTGTTTGAGAACAGGATCTCACTACTGTGTTGCACTGGCTGGCCTGGAACTCTCTATGTAGACCACACTGGCCTTGAACTCACGGAGATCTGCCTGCCTCTGCCTCCCGAGTGCTGGGATTAAAGTCATTTGTTTCTACGTCTGGGTAAAAATAAGTCTTAAGAAAAAAAAAAAAAAAGGTGGATGACTTGTGGAATGTAATACTCATGGGTTGACAGTTAGCCAACAACATATATACACACACATAGGCACCCCTGCCATCCCTACCCTGAGAGGGGGCAGGGGGGGGGGAGAGACAGAGACAGAGAGAGATGCTTTTACCTGTGTTGTTGAATTGGGCACCTAGACAAAAGAAACCACACTAAACTTAGTTAGGCACAACAAACATGCATTTTTACAGCCCTTTCAGGCTTCAGCTTAAGCCATTTTCATCCATCAGAGCCATCGCTAAGACAACAGCAGTCCCCCACTCAGGACTGGCCCTCCCGGGCTTCTAGCTCTGCGCCCATCACTGTATTTCCCTCTACAGCCTCGTCCTTCCCATCAGAAGCATCTTTCCGGAGGCCTGCCCGCTTTGGTGCCACTGTGCCGAACCCCCTCATGGCCCTGCTGTTTCTCAGAGGCCACCTTTGATGGTGGCGATGGGGCTGTCACCATCACAGCCATCAAAACACCAGATGATTTCTAAAGGTGTGAGCAGTCACTGAAGACCTGACCTTGGTCAGCTGCTGCCAAGGTGAATGAACAGAAACGAGGTCCACCTGGAGCCCATACAAACGTCCTGAAGACGACTCTGGCAGCCCTGACGTCATGGTGCTAGAGAACACAACCTCCCACCCGGGCCAGGCCCGTGCTGAGATCACTCCATCTTTGTGCCAAGAGCAGAGCACAGTCGTGCATCCAGGTGACCCTTACCCTCAGAATGGCAGGGCTGCTGTAATGAGCCATGCTGAGGGCTTCCATTCCTTCGCACTCTTCCATGTCCACCCTTCGGCTGCATTCGAAGGCCTGGCTCACCAGGAATGCTGAACAGGGAACATCCCGGGGTGGGGGAATACAGAACATATCAGCTAATGAATGGGAACCAAAGCAGTCATGTAAAAAAGGCCACATAATCATCAACACAAATGCAGCGTGTTTCAAATGGGGCTTTCAAGCCGGGTTTCAAGTAGGAAATGCACACGCAAAATATTCTAAACTTAAAAGGCACAAAGGATACTGAACAGTGTCTCCCCCCAATTCTGTCCCCCACCTAGGTCCCTGCCCCAGAGGGAGCAGCGTGACTAGCTGCTGAAGCTTTCTGAAACACTATGCAAATAAAATAAAACACATACGTAAAAGGTTGGCTTTTTTTAAACAATTATTTTCCCCTTTTGGCCACAGATGCACGCACAATACTCTATACTGGGCATTTTTTTTCCACGAGCAATGACTGCATCCTGAAGACTCTCCAGCAGCCGTGAAGGGATAATTAGTGTTCTCTTGTGGATGTAGCGTAATTACTCCCCAGTTCCCTGCTAACGGCCACTGCGCTTGTCTCTGCCTCGGCTGCTGCTGTCACAGGCTGCATGGGGCTTTTGCACGTGGGCCAAGCCTTTCTGCAGGAGCTTTGGGAACGTGGATCCGTATGTTCCACTGCCCTTGGCAGGGTGGGACCAACTGTTCCACGAGCTACGGCAGGAGAGTATCTGTCCCCCACGGCTCCAAACTCTGAGCTTTGCCACACTCAAAAGTGGAAATGGCGCCGGGCGGTGGTGGCGCACGCCTTTAATCCCAGCACTCGGGAGGCAGAGCCAGGCGGATCTCTGTGAGTTCGAGGCCAGCCTGGACTACCAAGTGAGTCCCAGGAGAGGCGCAAAGCTACACAGAGAAACCCTGTCTTGAAAAACCAAAAAAAAAAAAAAAAAAAAAAAAAAAAAAAAAGTGGAAATGGCTTCTTAGTCTGGCTTGTTTGCTTTTGGAGACAAAGTCTCACTATGTAGCTCAGGCTGGCCTCAAACTGGTGGTCCTCCCTCCTCTCCCAAGAGCTAGGGTTCCAGGCTTGCCCACCTCACCAGGCTGCAGTTGGTTTTAACTGGCAGTGACCTACTATGTGCAGGAAGCTGCTTCTCAACAGAACCTGTTACTCAGTTGCTCATTATGGTCGCTCCCAGCTGGCTGTGGGTTAGACAGCCATGGCCTTAGCCTTCTGTTGCCCAGGCCCTAGGCCTCGGCTCCTCGGCTCTCCTGGAAGAAGTGGGTCTTACCCAGGCACCTGAGCACAATGGTCTCAGTGTTCCCACTGTGAGACTCAGCCCAAGAAATCCTGCACAAGCAGGCCTAGAGTGCACACGTGGGATCCCAAAACTGGGGAGACTGAGTTGGAAAGACCAGGGTGAGATACACTGGGAGACCCTGACTCAGAAACCAAGTGAGAGCCAGCCATGGTGGCAGTGACTTGACCGCCAGCATTGGGAAGGCACAGGGAGGCACAGAGGCAGGTAGGTCTTTGGGAGCTCAAGGCCAGCCTGATCTATGTATTGAGGTCTGAGCCAGCTGGGGCTACATAGTGAGTCTCAAAAACTAAAAATAAATAAATAAACAAACAAAACAAACAAATAGACAAAACAAATGAAAAGAAACTGAAAGCCTCACCGTTCCACTTCTGAGAAGAAAACAAAGAACTAGTGATGTTAGCTGACCCCAAGGGATACTGTGCAAACCATTTTAATTTTGTATTACATTTGACCTGTGGGTGGGTGGCCGCACAAGAGATACAGCAAGTGAGTGGAAGGCAGGAGGTAACCTATGGGAGTCGATTCCCTCCCTCCACTCCACTCCAGGAGTCTCAGGGAGAGAACTCAAGGTGCCAGGCTTGGCGGCAAGCACCTTTACCTGCTGAGCTGTGTCTCTGGCTGCGGGGTGAGGGTTAGCCAGAGGAACCAGGCTCATGCAACATGGCAAGCAGCACACATAAGGGCTTAATTGAATGCTGCAGAGATCTGCAATCCCCGAAATGTGTCTATGTGTCACTGTTTACAGGTGCTTACCGCAGAGTTCAGGCAGCCACCGACCAGGGTAGAAAGGACCTCTTCAGGCAGGACCTTTGAGGCCTCTCTGCCTGACGAGTCCTTAGGTTATGAAGCCTGTTTAACTGGCAAGCGTACGTGACTGACAGGAGGAGCAGGGCACGCTCTTACCGGCAGGGTTCTCATCTGTGCACAGAGATGACGTCAGAGGCGAGGGCAGGCTAAGAAACGAACCTGAAGACGCGCCTGCAGTCTGCAGAGGAACTCCGTACTGCAAACACAGAACCCACAGGTGAGACAGGCGTTCCTTCAGCATGCACTGGACACAGGGCAGTGCCCACTGGTGTCCATGAGGACACATGCTGAGCACAGTCCCTGCCACATGGGGCTCATTCTCAGCTGCCAACCACATCCACACACACCTTTTTCTAATAAATTTTAAGTTTGTGTGATAGTGCACAGCTTTAATCCCAGCACTTAGGAGGCAGAGGCAGATGGATCTTTATGAGTTTGAGGCCAACCTGATCTACATAGTCTCAGGCCAGCCAGGGCAACACAGCCAAACCTGTTGTGTTACAGTTTCCTCCAAGATCGAATCATTCTACCCTGCCGGAAGCTCCTTAAGCAGGAAGGTAAACACCTCAAAGGAGCTTCAGGAAGTCCCTGAAACTGGCCAGATTCACTAGGCTCCTCCTTGCCGGAGTAAGCAAGAAAAGCTGAGAGCCCTATGAGACAGGCAGAAGAGCTGGAAAGGAGACTCTCAGACCAGCCAGCGCCTGGTAGGAGCAGAGACCAGCTGAGCTGCCTGGAAGAGGCTTAGAAGAGTGGTTCTCAACGTGGGAGTTGAAGGACCCTTTTACAGGTGTTGCTTAAGACCATCCTCGTGTCAAATATCTACATCACGATTCATAACAGCAACGAAAATCATTTTATGGTAGGAGCTCACCACAACATGAGGAACTGTATTAAAGGGTCACAGCATTAGCAAAGTTGAGAACCACTGCTCTAGCCCCTTAATTAGCTAATTTATTTATTCATTTATTTATTTAGATATGAGGTCTTACTACATTGCCCAGGCTGGTCTTGAACTCCTCCAGGGCTCAAGTGGTCCTCCTGCCTCAGCCTCCCAAAGGATGGGATTAAAGTTGCTTAGGGCAGGTGTGATGATGCATGCCTTTGACCCAGGTTTAACTGTGTCCTCTACTTGGGAGGCAGAGGCAGGCAGATGTCTGTAAATCAGAGGTCAACCTGGTCCACATATGGGGTTAGGTGAACCACGGCTGCATAGCGAGAGCCTATCTCAAGTAAATAAACCGAGGCTTGAGAGAACGTGAGCGCCTGTGTGTGCCTGCCACTGTACTGTTGCCTGTTTCATTATGGGATGCCCCTGGCACAGGATGAGAAGCTGAAATAGCGTTTACCTCTGTGGACAGGAATCGGACGGCTGAACACAGGCATGAACAAGTCACCGTTCAGGAACACTCATTTAAATGGCAGTTGTGATACTCATTAAAATCTTACAAGATTTTTGTGTGTGTGGATGTGGGGGAGGGGCCGTGAAGGTCAGAGGTCAGCTGGATGTCTTCCTTAATTGCTCTTCATCTTAAGTTTTTGAGATCAGGTCTCTCTGTTTACAACTGGAAGCTTGGGTCTGCTAGGAAAGAATGATGGGGCAGGATGTTAAGAGCGCACAGTGCGCCAGGCGGTGATGGCGCACGCCTTTAATCCCAGCACTCGGGAGGCAGAGCCAGGTGGATCTCTGTGAGTTCGAGGCCAGCCTGGGCTACAGAGCGAGATCCAGGAAAGGCAGGGCTGCACAGAGAAACCCTGTCTCGAAAAACAAAAACAAAGAGCACACAGTGCTTTTGCAGAGGATCCAATTCCGTTTCTAAACAGCCCCTCATAAGACAGCTCACAACCACCTGTAACTCCAGCTCAACAGAATCCAACGCCCTCTCCTGGCCTCCGCAGGCACTACACTCACTTGCACATGTCCCCACACACAAACATAATTACCCCGGCATGGAGGTGCACACCTTTGAGCCCAGCACTCAAAGGCAGAGGCAGGCAGATCTCTAAGAGTTTGAAGCCAGCCTGATCTACATAGCAAGATCCAGGACAGTCAAGGCTACATAATAAGACCCAGTCTCCAAATAAATATAAACACGCAATTAATGTTTTTAATTAAAAAAAAAAAAAGAGTGGATAGTGGCTGGTGTAATCCTCCACTCAGGAGGTAGAGATGGGAAGATTATCACTTCAAGGACAAGCTGAACCAACTATACAGTGAGACTCGAAGGTGAAAAATTAAAAATGGATAGAAGGGCTGGGCCTGGGGTGCTGGGGAATGCATGAGCAGCAGGGTCCCTTCCCCAGTGCTGCCAAGACTGGAATGCTGGGACACACAGCAGGCAGGCTTGTCAGGATGTCCTGACACTGGTCCCCAAGCTCTTTTCCTGCACCTGTTTCTCTCAGTTCAGTGGCACAGCCATGTGTCCTTCCCAGCAGTGTGTCTTTCCCAGGCTGCGTTCGGCAATGCTGAGAAAGCCCTCCACAGTGCCTGGCACACAGGGATGCTCACAGAACAGCAACCAGCCTTCATATGACATGGGAAGACACAAAGTACTTAATCCCTCAGTTCTGCTTAGAGGCAGGGTTTCGTGTGGCTCAGGCTGCTTTAAACTTGAATTCCTGCTCCTCCTGCCTCCACTCCCCACCACTGAGATTATAGGTGGGTACCAGTACGCCCAGCTTTGGAAAAGTACATCCAACATTAACGGGTTTGCTAATGAAGGGGTATATAAAATAGCACACAGACTCCTAACGTCCACAAAACAGAAAACGACTCTGAGAGGACCTGGCATCCAGGCGGTGCACTCCTCATGCCCAGAGGCAGGCTTCAATCATTTTCCTACACTCTCCTGTGCTGAAAAGAATAGAAAATTATGCAGAGATAAAATTCAACTGCAGAGCTGAGCGGTGCTGGCGCATGGCTTTAATCCCAGCACTCGGGAGGCAGAGACAGGCGGATCTAGGGAGTTTGAAGCCAGCCTGGTCTATGAAGTGAGTGAGTTCCAGGATAGCCGGAGCTGTTACACAGAGAAACCCTGAACCAAAAACCAAACAAACAAAACAAAACAAAAAATCCAACTGCAGAAGTGACCTGAAATCCTGGGTTCAGAATTTGAACATCACTTGAATTCCCATGCTCTTTGAGAGGACAGCAGTGACTCTCTGGTGTCATCCATGTCCCAAGGGCTGGCAGTTTGGCTTTCTATGTTGATACTGAAATTAGCTTATGGAGTATTTCAGGACAGATGAGAGACTGCCCTCTAGTTGTTGGCTCACCTCGTATTTAGTGGGCTGTGGGGCATCTGATGGGGCCGTGGAAGGAACATCCGACTCGACACTCAGCGTAAAACCACCTGATGCTTGCATCAGTCTGTCGAAATTGTTCTCGTCGGGCACTTCGGGATTAGCAAAGGACAGTGCGGACTTGTCTGTTTTTAGACAAAGCGTTAAAAATCAGAAGAAAGGTGTGGAGTACGTGACAGCTCAACTTGGAAACCCCTTCTTAGTAGCAACGAGACTGATGTTAAGAGCCTGGCGGTGGTGGCACACACCTTTAATCCCAGCACTCAGGAGGCAGAGGCAGGTGGATCTCTGTGAGTTCGAGGCCAGCCTGGTCTACAGAGCGAGATAACTACACAGAGAAACCCTGTCTTGAAAAACAAAACAAAACAAAACAAAACAAAAACAAACAAACAAAAAGACTGATATAAGAAAAGTTTTTCTGGGCTATCTAGATGGCTCAGCAGGTAAAGGCGCTTGCCACCAGGCCTGGTAACCTGAGTTTGATCCCCAGGACCCACATCACTAAAGAGAGAACTGACTCCAGAAAAGACACCCTCTAACCTATGCATGGTTACACACACACAAACAAAGGTAATTTAAAATGATTTCTTGTTGGATGGTGGTGGCACATGCCTTTAATTCCAGCACAGGCAGAGGCAGGTGGGTCTCTGAGTTCAAGGTTTACATAGTGAGTTCCAGGACAGCTAGGTTACACAGAGAAACTCTGTCTCAAAAGAAAAAAAAAAGTTTTCTTGTATATTTGCCTCTCCTGGGATTTCTTGAGGCTTGTTAAGTGAACAGAATCCCTAATCATAATGAGTTCAAGACCATCCTGATCTATATGGCGAGTTCCAGGCCAGCCAGGATACACAACGAGACCCTGTCTTGAGAAGTCAATGAACAAACAGAATCAGTAGACCTGGCTGCATCTAACAGTGTGGTCAGTAGTGATTGCTTCGAAGGCCTGCAGGGAAACAACAGCAGAAACCAAGAGACAGAGCTGGTCACTTTCTCCAGCGCACAGACAAGCGTCTGCTTCTTCCTGCCTCCAGGGAACACTCTCTGGGGGGCTGTGGGGAGATAAGACTCATTCATCTCTTGGCAGCCACCTCCTGTGCTGGGTATGAAGGGAGAAGAAGAGGCAGGCTCCATGTCCACTGGGCTGCTGTTAGGGCTTAGACAGTCATCGCCGCCGTCGGGTGGCGGCGGCGGCGGCGGCGGCGGCGGCGGCGGCGGCGGCGGCGGCGGCGGCGGCGGCGCACGCCTTTAATCCCAGCACTTGGGAGGTAGAGGTAGGCGGATCTCTGGGAGTTCGAGGCCAACCTGGTCTACAAAGCAAGATCCAGGACAGGCACCAAAGCTACACAGAGAAACCCTGTCTCAAAAAACAAACAAACAAAAAAAGGCAGTCATGGCCAGTTGTCACTGAGGATAAGTCACAGCACATTCCCCCAAGTCTTTAATCATGGGGGAACACATCCCAAATACGGAAAGACTTTGGGATGAGACGATGAAGCTGGATTGCCAAAGCCATGAGTGTGCCTCTGCTATCCTGAGAACAGTACACACTCACGAGCAACACACTGCCTAGGCTGACTGCTCAGGTAAAAATACAGATCCTGTAGTCATGCAAATACTCTCAGTAAAAATAACAAAGAAAAAGGAAATGGAAACCACAGGTAACATTTAAAGATGAAACTGACTTTCAACTATTACTCCAAGAGGAAATAAACGTGCATGCACACACATGCACATGTATGCACACACGCACACACACACACACCCCAGATTCCTATGTCTACAGCACATAAACCTCTTTGAAGACAAGCATATGATAAAGACAGCAAACGGCGTAAGGACTTGAAGACAGTGTGTGCCAAGGACCTATAAAGTTACTGTAAATTCAGCCTCCAGCCTTGAATTATTCACACAGCCCACACCCAGGATGGGCGCTTTAAATGGAACTGAATGAAGTGCTTTCCCCAAAAAGAAACTTTTAAAAGAAAGAAACTTTTAAAAGAAAGACAGGGCTTCACAACATCTATCAAAGCCAAATACTTACAGTTTGAAATATGGACGCAGAAGGCGGAAGGGTTGATCTGGTCAGTGAGTCTAAAGACGCGGTGAGGAGGGTCTGCCGTCAAGTTCATCGAGTAGACGGCTGCCTTCTGACTACAGAACTGCCCATCACCCCTGAGAGTCGAGAACGACAGTGAGTTGGCCGTGCACAGTCCACGCCAGGCTCGTCTCCAGATCCTTCACTACACTAACAGGACCACGAGGACGCCGATGGAGTCGGACGTCACAACAGACTCCGTTTGTGTTTATTTGCTCTTACAAGTGGGGCCCTGAAGCTTTTATCTCTAACAGAAAGAAGACAGGCACAATAACTTTGGCCAGGCATGCTGGTGCACGCCTGTATTCCCAACACCGGAGCGGTCGAGACAAGTGGGTCTCTGAGTTCAGGTCTACACAGCAAGTTCCACGTCAGTCAGAGCTACACAGACCCTATCTCAAAAATATATAATAATAACAACAACAAACAACATTTAAGGGAAGGCTACTGGGTGTGGAGTAGAGTGCACTTTTCCATAAACTTGAACAGCATTAAGATTATGATATTTTGGGAGCTGGAGAGGCTGCTCAGTGGTTAAGCATTTACTGCCCTTACAGAGAACCTAGGTTCAGATCCCAGAACCCGCATCAAGGCAGCTCATGCCTGTAACTCCACTTCCAGGGGATCTGACACTACATGTAACCGGCACACACAGCACACACAGGCACACACACATCTAAATAAAATAAATATAAAAGCATACCAGGAAGTTTTGAAAGTATTTTTATTATATTTGTTTGATGTGTGTATGTGAGGAGAGAGAGAGAGAGAGAGAGAGAGAGAGAGAGAGAGAGAGAGAGGTGCTTTTTCCACGGCACACATGTGAAAGTCAGAGGACAATTTACATGATAGTTCTCCTTTTACTATGTAGGTCCTAGAGCTCAAGCTCAGGCCAGCAGGCTTGGCAGGAAGCACCCTTACCCACTGAGCCATCCTGCCCTGCTCTCTTCCCCATTCTTCTCCATCTCAGCTACCTGTTCGTTCAGTCAATGTCACAGCCTACAATGCCTGTCCCCCAGCTTGTGCTTGACCCTCAGGACTCAGCACAGCTCGGATGGTCTTTTCTAGAAAGCCTTCCCCGCCTAGCTGAGGCAGACGGCGTTCTCTGGGGTTCCTCAGGGCCTGCCTCATTCACCCCTCGCTCATGCAACAGTAAGCTCTTAAAAGCAGCACGGGTGAACTCAGTTCCATGTCTCGAGTGCACGGAGGAGGTGCTCAAGAAGGCCCAGAAGGTGGCCAAGCGTAGAGTCCCTGCCTAGCCCCCGCCAGGCCTTGCTTCCATCCTGCCCCCTCCTGCCCTACAAAGAAGGCCAGGAAGAGGCAGAGGCCACGCGCCTCGGGCTTGGTGTCTGCCTGAAAGGTGACAACAGCGGAGGTCAAGCCAGAACTCTCTTACCCTAGTCAACTGGAGTGTGTCACCAGGAACCACACACCAAGAGCCTGGCACACGCTAGGCCAGCACTCACCACGAAGTGGTATCCCTGCCAGTCAAGACAATTTAACGAAGGCCCATTACATGGTATCAGCTGGGCAGGCACCGACAGCACCTACAATAGATACTCCTGTCCTCACGAAGGTTCCATCGGGTGGGGGACAGATTCACGCAGATGCCCACCAACAGATTTCCAAGTCATTATACGACAGGAGTTGTTGGCAGTTAAACATAATGAAACCTTTATGAATTGGAGCCTATATAATGGGGCACACTACAAATTAGCATTAGGGCTTTCCCTATTTTTTTTCTTTCTTTTTTAGAGATAAGGTCTCCCTATAATTGCCCAGGCTATTTTCCAACACAGGAGCTCAAGTGATCCTCCTGCCCCAGGCCTCCCCAAAGAGCTGTGGCTACAGTAGCATGTAATTTGGTTCATAATTCTCTTGGTGGGACGGGGATGAGCGCAGATAATGCCATGAAGCCATGTGACAAAACACAGATTAATAGAAATGGGTGGAGTCAAGATGTAAGAGCTAGCTAACAAGAAGCCTGAGCCATGGGCCATATGGTTTGTAATTAATATAAGAGCCTCTCGGTGATTATTTTATAAGCAGCTGTGAGAGCTTAGGTGGGAGAGATTCATCTGAACCGTGGGTCTAGGAGGGACCAAGAAACTTCCACCTGGGCTGGAGAGATGGCTCAGAGGTTAAGAGCACCGACTACTCTTCCAGAGGTCCTGAGTTCAATTCCCAGCAACCACATGGTGGCTCACAACCATCTGTAATGAGATCTGTCACCCTCTCCTGTATACCTAATAAATAAATAAATCTTTTAAAAAAAAAAAAAAAGGAAAGAAAGAAACTTCCGGGCTGGAGAGATGGCCCAGTGGATAAGTGCACTGGCTGCTCTTCCAGAGGACTCAGGTTCAATTCCTAGGACCCACATGGCAGCTCACAACTGTCTGTAACTCCAGTTCCAGAGGATCTGATGCTAATGCACATTAAAAAAAAAAAAAAAAAGTTAAATAAATTTGAAAGAAACTTCCACCTACACACATGATAGAAGGAGAAAACTGATTCCCTAAAGTTGTCCTCTGACCTCCACTTGGGCACCATAGTTTGAGCATACATATACATAAATATAAAAAAATGTATATATTTATTTATATACAAATAAATAAATATGTAATTTAAAAAGGCTGCACAGGGGCTGGGTGTTATGATGCATGTCTTTATTCCCAGTCTTCAAGAAGCAGAGGCAGGCAGATCTCTGAGTTCAATGCCAGGCTGGTCTACAAAGTGAGTTCCAGGACAGCCAGGGCTGCATAGAGAGACCCTGTCTCAAAAATTTAAGGGGGCCAGAGCGATGACTCATCAGTTAGTTAAAAGTGTGTACTGCTCTTGAAGAAGATCCAAGTTTGGTTCCCAGTACCTATGCTGGGCGGCTCACAGCCTCCTATGACTCCAGGTCCAGGGAACCCAACACCCTCTTCTGGCCTCAGCAGGCAACTATACCCATGTGCATACCCTCCCCACACCCCACCTAAGACACATATGCATACTCATAATTAAAAATAAAAATAATAAAAGGTAGCTGGGTGGTGGTAGCGCATGCCTTTATTCCCAGCACTCGGGAGGCAGAGGCAGGTAGATCTCTGAGTTCAAGGCCAGACTAGTCTACATAAGAAGTTCTTAGCCTGGCAGTGGTGGCGCACGCCTTTAATCCCAGCACTCGGGAGGCAGAGCCAGGCGGATCTCTGTGAGTTCGAGGCCAGCCTGGGCTACCAAGT